TCCACTACACAAGCTTGTTAACTCCAGGGCACTACGATATTAACTCCAATACACAAGCATGTCAACTCCAGTGCACTACGATATTAATTCAAATACACAAGCTTGTTAACTCCAGTGCACTAAAATGTTAACTCCACTACACAAGCTTGTTAACTCCAGGGCACTACGATATTAACTCCAATACACAAGCATGTCAACTCCAGTGCACTACGATATTAACTCCTCTACACAAGCTTGTTAACTCCAGTTCACTACGATATTAACTCCAATACACAAGCTTGTTAACTCCAGTGCACTAGGCTACCAAGTTAAGATTTCTTTCGACTGTAACTCTAAGCCTTAACATTATTTAAGAGTGATTTGTATTATATATACAAAGGGGAATACTTGAAGTCGTAAAATAATCTCTTAGTCGAAATATAAGTTAATTTCATTTGCAAATTTCAAGTGTTTTAATTGATTAATCTGGGAAAAGTGTTCTTTACTTGTAAGATATGAGGCACGGTAGTCTAGTGGTAGGACGCCGGGCTCGTGACCGAAGCGGGTTCGAGTCACGTCACGGCACTGTGTTGTATCTTTGAGCAAGATACTTTACTCCGCTTGTTCCAGTCTACTCAGCTGTAAATGAGTACGTGTTTGGGCAGTGCTAGAATTGTTGAATGCCAGCTGTGAGCGCCAAAATGGCAGCACCGGCTATATGCTCCCTAGGGAGTTGGGAAAGATATTGCCTGGTTGCAAACTCCCTATAACCACGGACAATAATTTGTGAACCGCTTTGAGACGACCTATGAACTAGGTTGTGATAAAGCGGTATATAACAACCTCAAATTATTATACATGTAGTTATTATTATGTTTTTAATTGTATAACATCGAGTGTTGTTATGATTATATAAGATCGTTTTCTACAGTTTTATTAACGAGTTATTTCCTCAGATCTCACTTGTTATACTAATACGCTCATTAACTTGTTTTGCAAAATAAAAGTATTACATTTTAATACTGTGTTGTTTTGTTGTAATGGAAAATGGACATTTCCCCTTCATGTTTGATCATTTTAACATCCCAAAAATATTTATGAATATATGCTTTATTTATTTTACATCTTGGCAATTATAAAACCTTTTTTTTTCAACTTATACTTTGTCACTATTGTTGGCTCGGATGGGAGCGTACAAGCGCCTCCTGAAGTGCGAGTACAATTTGGGCAGGTGACACACTACCCTTTCGCGTCCGGTCAAGGATTCCAACCCCGGTCGTCTTTGTGGAAGTAGAGTACGCTAGTCACTGCGCCACCTGATCACTCTATGTATAATTTAAGGGAAAAAGAGGATGTATTTTGAAGTTGTACGGTATATAACGAAAAACTGTACATTTTGTTTAAGTTGTGAAGCGGTGTTTGCACAAATGTGCGAAGAATTTTCGGTATATATCTGTACAGTATAAAAACAGAAAAAAATCATAATCCCGATTGTTCTTTAAAGTTGAATTTTAAAAGACATACAACACTTTTAACAACATAGTAAATGGATTTTAGTCACTTCTATGAAAAACATAAATAATTTACACAAAACACAACCTTCTGCTGTTATTTCATCGCCGAGCAACTTTAACCAATCAAATGTAAGAATTTCAAATACTGCACCAAACAATGCAGCGTAATTCACAAAATTTGTTTGTTGCTAGTCTCGTTCAACCAGACGCTTGCTTACTTGTAATTCAAGAGTTTCTGGTTGAACGAGACAAGTTTGTTGCCGACTCTGCTACTCGCTCAGCCAAGCCATTATCCAGGGTTACAGTCCTGACAAGACACTGTATACTCCAGGAGTTGAATTAAAAGAATATGGATTTAGGAGTTTTGATCGATCTTGAACAGGGTTTCCTCATAACCGTTTCTTCTATCAGGACTTTTCTTTACTCTATATGTACCATCGTATGGCATTGCCACTATGTAACCCTACCAAATTCAGTTGGCATTCATATAGGCTATGAATGCCATGGACCGATTGTTGACGTCATCATTATTAAGCTGGCGCGCTTCATTGAATTTGCCTTTGTCCAGTTGGCATTCATGTTGCTTGAATGCCAACAGAAAGCAGTTCAATGCTTAAAATATTACCACTTCCGCATACTAAACTGAATTTTGGTTGACAGTATCTTCATTGAGTACAGCGCCAAGACTTTTCAGCGACTCAGCTTACCTTGCTCCGCACTAACGAGTTTTCTCTATACCGAATATCCCAAGTCTGGTTCTGAGTTTAATACGATAGCTAAAAGGCCGAACTAAGGAAATACGGAATAAAGAACATACATTCCCGCCAAAATAGCAAACAGCTAATATACCAATTGGAACTTTTTTGTCCTCACTGAGTCATTGCTAATTCTTATATTATAAATTCCTCCTCTGAACGTAAAGGACTTGACGAGTTGTCTCCCTTCAATCGAACATCGACTGTATCAGTGTTTTTGGCTATCAATTTATACGTATCAATATCCAATTTTAATAATATATGACTACTTATATACAAAACATTGAGTAGCATTTATAATTTAACACACGTTTTAAGCATTTTACTGTATTCTGTTCAAATTGATAATAGTATTCAAATTCAATTAATTTGTATTCTCCACAAAAATCAAATATTTATAGACTTGATCGGAATGATAAAACTAATAAAACTGATCCGAATGAGTTTTATTATTTTCTCAAATATTTTATTGACTTTGACTGTAAACCAAAAGATCGTCTTGTCATTTGAGGTAAGTTTCAATAAATGATTATATAACCACTAATAAGTTGGAGTTGTTTCCCTTCAACAACACACGTGCCAGAGTACAGGATGACGCTGTCACCGATATTCCCCGCTCGTAGTGCAAAGCACGAGGCGTAAAATATCGGTCAAAATCAGCATCCGCTATATTCATTCAGTAACGCAACCCTAGATACACAACTGATGCAAGTATAATCAACATAACACTTGTAGTAGGCGTGGTATAGATGGTCTGGTTTTTGTGTGTGTTTTATGTCCTATAAACAGCTTTGTTCATGGTGGAGGAAAGCCGGAGTTCCCGGAGAAAACCCACCGACCTACGGCCAGTAGCTGGCGATTGCCCCATGTAGGTCTCGAACCCGCGACCCAGTGGTTGAGGGCTAGTGGTAGCAGAATGTCAGACGGCTTAATCACCTGGCCACCGCGTCCCCACGCGATGTTACGGTCTAGTGTTTTATGTACACCGTTCATCATGTCTACATATAACTTGTTGATAAGACTTTTTATATATTTATATTGATTGTACACTAGTGTTGATTAACTCGAGGGAGAGAAAAGGAAAAAAAACTTGATTGTTCCAGTCGACTGTTTATATTCATATGTTATCAATATAGTCCTCTCTACAATGAGAGAAAGCGTTCTTTTTATCTTACAACAGTGTATTAAGATTATATATTGGATTACTTTTTATCCTGTTTCCATTTATAGTAGTAACATGGTGGATGATGGAAGTATGAAGGTTAACATGTCTCGTGTGATAAAAGTATCTTTTACATAGAGAATAAAACATGCCTTTTTCCATATCACACCCAGTATCAACCCGAGACTGCAATATCAGCCCAAGGGCCGAAGGTCGAGGGTAATAAGATAAGATAATCTTATGTTTTATTCTGTTTATTACATACTTACTAATAACGGCTACTTTCTTATGATCTATTTTTCTTTTGAAATGTTGAAAAACAAAAAAAATCCAAAAGGGGTGTGATACGGGTTTTGCGGGCTGATACGGGTTTTGGGGTGTGATACGGCGGGGGCTGATGCGTCTTAGTTGTGGTAATTGTGTCTTATCGCATATACAAAAACCCGTATTTATTAGTAAGTAAGTAATAAAACTTACTAATAAATACGGGATTTTTGTATATGCGATACGACACATATGCTCTAACTCATATCAACCCTCGCCGTATCACACCCCGAAACCCGTATCAGCCCTCTCCATATCAGCCCACAAAACCCGTATCATACCCCTTTATGAACACTTCTTAAATGCTATTATATGACCATTTTGATATCATATCCCTTATCAACCCGAGAGTCCCGATATCAGCCCGAGGTGCCAAAGGCCCCGAGGGCTGATATCGGGACCGAGGGCTGATAAGGGATATGATATCAAAATGGTCATATTATAAACTTTTTATCATATGTTCAAGTAACAAAATATCAAGTCAACAGGAAAAACAATTAGATAATTTAATCAACAATGTCAACTGAAACAGATTATTGCAAGATGATATTCAGTCAATTCCGAATAAATATCGTTTGAAATCGCTGCTGTCAGTAATTATTAGTCCAAGTGTTCAAGTATTCTAGACAATAGAGAATTAAGTATTTCCTCTTCCTGGTTTGTTAACATTNGGGGGGGGTGCATTACGAGAAACTTATCACACGGGTGACCGGAAGTGGTAACAGGAGTGGTCAGAAGTTATCAAATATGCAAAAACACTCATATTCTGAGTAAACATATGATAATAATTTTTACCATCTTTCAAAAGAAAAATAGATCATAAGATAGTATGTCTATCCGTATTGTATTATTAAGTATGTACTAAACTGAATAAAACATGCCTTTCCCATATCACACCCAGTATCAACCCTCGACTAATATCAGCCCTCGGGCCTTCGGACCTGGGGGCGATATTGGAGTCTTGGGTTGATACTGGGTGTGATATGGAAAAAGGAATTTGTTATTCTCTATGGATTGCATTATAAAATACATCACGATAGTGATATCTATGTCGTCTAGAAGTAGTCTTTCAGCAAATGTCATATATAAACTATGTTAAAAGACGCGGCAGCATTATTGTGACAACTTTCTATGTGTTTTGTGTAAGCTGATGTGAATCATCACAACAATAAAACACTAGTAGACTGTTGTTCTTTGTCGTGTTCTTACTTACCAATCTGAAGTGTAAAAATTCCCAAAACACAAACCTCTACACAATCACACAACTTCACAATTTTTATTTCCAAATGGAAATAAGTTTTCTTCCGCCCCCGCTTTACTTTTTCAGAGGGCGGAAGTACATGGACTGGTATTTTTTAATTGTCTATATTTCCTCTCTCAGGAGGGTGATTTCTCGTGTTAGCATCTCATTTTCCAGGTGGCGACTCCTCTGATACGGAATCTCCCAGGCCACACTTGTGTCTTTGTTCTGAAAACGGAAAAAAGAGAGATCAAGTGAACAGTTTGAAACTTTGATATATATTTTTGCGTTTTTACAAGGAGGGAGAGGAGAGGGACTGCTAAAAGGAATGTAAAAATAAATAAATACTTACATCCGTCAAAAACAAACGTTTCCTCACAGGGGTCACAGGGGTCACAGGGGTCGTCCTCGGCACGGGGTGGAAGTTGCGTTAGAATGCTGAAGTAAAAGAGTCAATACTCTGGCTTAATTTTCGAAAAAAAAAAAAAAATGTTCAAAACAAGAAGATGAAATCATAAAGCAGAAAGAATACAAAGATGAATAACGAAAAAAAATACTTACTTCTAAATATTTTTTTTTTTTTTTGGACAACTGATTGAGAGGACAGTGAGAGTTGTAGATGCAGATTGTTAAACCGTTACAGAATAACTGGGACGGACCAGAGGGAGTAGCTCGGTTTTGTGTTTCCCGATATTTTCTTAATTGGTCGCGTGGAATATTTTCTCACAGTTGCCGTGTAAAATTTGTTTATACCCATCGTTGGAGCTTGACCAGTGCTGAGAGATAATTCTTGAATGTTTTCCCCAGACGTTTGGAATCAAACCCAACATACACAACCGGAGCTTGTCCTGTTTGAACACGCCGTGTCGCTTGGGGTACACGGATGTCGAGATACTGACGGATTGGACGTGGGGAAGTTTCCAAACGTACCATTTTACGATAAGCACTAGCTCTGAGACCTGACGCGTGTGTGACTGAGCCACTGGTTTGTCTAGATCTTTTGATGTTATAATTATGAAACAATACGCCGAATCATATTTACAGTTTATTTACATCTCTAAACATATTCATCTTATGTAAACAGGTACATGTCTTTACGTACACCGCAACACGTTCACTGCTCACAAGTTGTCACTCCAATGTTCGTACCACAAACCTTATAGACCGGGGTCGACCTATTTCTTTTACCAGGTGTGGTAAGCTATTAGGCCTAGACCCCGCCCATAGCTGGACAGTGCTCTATAAATAGCTAGCAGCAAGCTAGAGTACACTCCTTGAGGGAAGGCAACTTCCCTCACGCCGACAGAACACCGACTTCCGTCAGTGAGATGAAACCCGTAAGGGCGGATTCATGTAGGCGCGAAACCCGTCAACCAACCAACCAACCTAGAGTACACACTACTGTGATAGGGTATTACTAATAAGCTATGTGTTTAGTTTTCGTTTCCTTGCTTTCTTGCACAGAGTGTCAACATAGCTATTCCAACTATTTTGCCTGAACTTGAATGTACATTTTTTGTAATTTTTCTTTCCTTTGGTACTGCGTGGTGCATGTTGGTTTTGAGGATTCCAAACAGATGTATATCCACGATCAACATTTACATTCCATTGACAGACTGCCAAGTTGGCTCTTGATTTGTATTGGTCAATTGAGAAAGCAATTCGCTTGCCCTGGTAAACGTTTATCACATTGTTGAAGCTTTCTACATAAAATGTGTCTCTTCCCAACCTATAGTTCTCTGCATGCTTGAATAATGTTGATTTGGTAAGTATGCCAATACGTAACGTTTCTGCTTTTGGATCAGTAATTCCTATCCTTGATATATCGTAGTTTGTATCTTTTTGACATCTGGATGTTGGGTCACTTGCACTGTGATTGTTCTTGTAATGTTCCGTGACGTTATCCAAAGATTGTCGTAGTTTTACAGCATTGTCCATGCAGTTTCTAACGGCCAAATGCATGATGCTGGCAACAGGTTCAACTTTGTCACCAAGCTGAGAAGACCAGGTTTTCCCCCGAAGAGCAGCTGGACCTGATGCTGCCCCTTTGAGTGCCTTTTTGAGAGATTTCACACAATGCCAGGTGCCATTTTGGTTTTCGGATTCACATTCTTCTCTGATATACTTATTGATAGATAGGTTCCTGTCATGAGTATCGACTCCCACAGAGACGGTGTTGTCAGATAGATACTTATATACCTTTTCTGTTCCCAGTTTCTCATGTCGCTGAGAAACGCTGTCACCTGCTTTGATAACATGTTGGCAGTTTATAAGTATATGTGTGCGGTCACCAATAGCAACAACACTTGTGTCCTTGGCATTCTTCCTCCATCCATGCCTGGCATCTGTCATCATATCAATACTCCCTAACCTTTAATCTTCATTGAATTTTCCTCCATGTTTTCTGATTGGCTGCTATTTATAGTCTGACCTCGGTATTTAATAGTTACATCCTCTCTCGTGCACCTCACCAAGCTAAACTGACCTCAATCACACACACATAATCTGTCCTATCTCCACTGTAACACACACCACCCTTTGTTCCCACGACACTGGCCATTCTCAATCAACTTTTCTCCCTAACCGTACGAGCTTTAATTGACAACTTAATAAGATCTCCAGAACCAAGTAATATGTCTCTACATTTAAATTGCACGCATAATCTAAACAAATAAACATCAACAGACCCCCCGCAGACACTCACTGATATGTACAGCTGTGGTTGACACAACTCATTAATTAGAACCACTGACCACTCTGACCCCTACTGGCCTACTCGACTCTCCTCCGACTCTCAAAGGTAACACCTTTTTCAGACGTGTAATACCTATTCTTGTCTAATATCAACAACAAAAGAAATATCTTTAAATGTGTAATTAAATGTCATAGATATTTTTACGATATCGCATAATGTGTCTCTGTCCTGTGAATCAAAGAGGGATGAGTCAAATCGTAACGCGCTGTAACACAGACGTGTCGTAGGGATGAGTCATATCGTAACGTGTTGTAACGCAGACGTGTCGTAGGGACGAGTCATATCGTAACTATCGTAACGTGTTGTAACACAGACGTGTCGTAGGGATGAGTCTTATCGTAACACGCTGTTACACGGACGTGTCGTAGGGATGAGTCATATCGTAACGCGTTGTAACACAGACGTGTCGTAGGGATTAGTCATATCGTAACGCGCTGTAACTCAGACGCGTCGTAGGGATGAGTCATATCGTAACGCGGTGTAACACAGACGGGTCGTAGGGATGAGTCATATCGTAACACGCTGTAACGCAGATGTGTAGAAGGGATGAGTCATATCGTAACACGCTGTAACGCAGATGTGCCGTAGGGATGAGTCATATCGTAACACGCTGTAACACAGACGTGTCGTAGGGATGAGTCGTATCGTAACACGCTGTAACGTAGACGTGTCGTAGGGATGAGTCATATCGAGTCATATCGTAACACGCTGTAACACAGATGTGTCGTAGGGATGAGTCATATCGTAACAAGCTGTAAAGCAGATGTGTCGCAGGGATGAGTCATATCGTAACACGCTGTAACGCAGATGTGTCACAGGGATGAGTCATATCGTAACACGCTGTAACGCAGATGTGTAGAAGGGATGAGTCATATCGTAACACGCTGTAACGCAGATGTGTAGAAGGGATGAGTCATATCGTAACACGCTGTAACGCAGATGTGTCACAGGGATGAGTCATATCGTAACACGCTGTAACGCAGATGTGTCGCAGGGATGAGTCATATCGTAACACGCTGTAACGCAGATGTGCCGTAGGGATGAGTCATATCGTAACACGCTGTAACGCAGACGTGTCGTAGGGATATTAAATGTCATAGATATTTTTACGATATCGCATAATGTGTCTCTGTCCTGTGAATCAAAGAGGGATGAGTCAAATCGTAACGCGCTGTAACAAAGACGTGTCGTAGGGATGAGTCATATCGTAACGCGTTGTAACACAGACGTGTCGTAGGGATTAGTCATATCGTAACGCGCTGTAACGCAGACGTGTCGTAGGGATGAGTCGTATCGTAACACGCTGTAACGCAGACGTGTCGTAGGGATGAGGCATATCGTAACACGCTGTAACGCAGATGTGCCGTAGGGATGAGTCATATCGTAACACGCTGTAACGCAGATGTGTAGAAGGGATGAGTCATATCGTAACACGCTGTAACGCAGATGAGTCGTAGGGATGAGTCATATCGTAACGCGCTGTAACGCAGACGTGTCGTAGGGATGAGTCGTATCGTAACACGCTGTAACGCAGACGTGTCGTAGGGATATTAAATGTCATAGATATTTTTACGATATCGCATAATGTGTCTCTTTCCTGTGAATCAAAGAGGGATGAGTCAAATCGTAACGCGCTGTAACAGAGACGTGTCGTAGGGATGAGTCATATCGTAACGCGTTGTAACACAGACGTGTCGTAGGGATGAGTCTTATCGTAACACGCTGTTACACAGACGTGTCGTAGGGATGAGTCGTATCGTAACACGCTGTAACGCAGACGTGTCGTAGGGATGAGTCGTATCGTAAAACGTTGTAACACAGACGTGTCGTAGGGACGAGTCATATCGTAACACGCTGTCACTCAGCCGTGTCGTAGGGATGAGTCGTATCGTAACACGGTGTAACGTAGACGTGTCGTAGGGATGAGTCATATCTTAACACGCTGTAACACAGACGTGTCGGAGGGATGAGTCGTATCGTAACACGCTGAAACGCAGACGTGTCGTAGGGATGAGGCATATCGTAACGCGGTGTTACACAGACGTGTCGTAGGGATGAGTCATATCTGTCGTAGGGATGAGTCATATCGTAACGCGTTGTAACTCAGACGAGTCGTAGGGATGAGTCATATCGTAAAACGTTGTAACACAGACGTGTCGCAGGGACGAGTCATATCGTAACACGCTGTAACGCAGCCGTGTCGTAGGGATGAGTCATACCGTAACGCGCTGGAACACAGACGTGTCGTAGGGATGAGTGGTATCGTAACACGCTGTAACGCAGACGTGGCGTAGGGATGAGTCGTATCGTAAAACTTTGTAACACAGACGTGTCGTAGGAACTCGTAACACGCTGTAACGCAGACGTGTCGAAGGGATGAGTCGTATCGTAAACCGCTGTAACGCAGACGTGTCGTAGGGACGAGTCACATCGTAACACGCTGTTACACAGACGGTCGTAGGGATGAGTCATATCGTAACGCGTTGTAACACAGACGTGTCGAAGGGATGAGACGTATCGTAAAACGCTGTAACGCAGACGTGTCGGAGGGACGAGTCATATCGTAACACGCTGTCACTCAGCCGTGTCGTAGGGATGAGTCGTATCGCACCACGCTGTAACGCAGACGTGTCGTAGGGACGAGCCATATCGTAACACGCTGTTACACAGACGGTCGTAGGGATGAGTCATATCGTAACGCGTTGTAACACAGACGTGTCGAAGGGATGAGGCGTATCGTAAAACGCTGTAACGCAGACGTGTCGTAAAGACGAGTCATATCGTAACACGCTGTAACAAAGACGTGTCGAAGGGATGAGTCGTATCGTAAACCGCTGTAACGCAGACGTGTCGTAGGGACGAGTCACATCGTAACACGCTGTTACACAGACGGTCGTA